ACTCCCTATACACCCCGCGTACTGTCTCCTTATATGTTTCTGTCTCCCCAGTCTCTTACCAGCAGCAGCACCACCACGAGACACACGACTGCCTGCTGCTGTTGTTGCTGCTGCTGTTGCTGTTGCTGCTGTTGCTGCTGTTGCTGCTGCTGTTGCTGCTGTTGCTGCTGTTGCTGCTGCTGCTGCTGCTGCTGCTGCACCTTCTGAGACATACGCTGTCTCCACTCCGCTTACAGCGTGAGTAGAGACAGCAGCAAACTTCCCCGCAGCAGCAGCAGCAGCAGCAGCAGCAGCCCCTCCATAGGGTGTTGCTGTCGGCTTGGCGCTGCTGCTGTTGCTGCTGCTGCTGCTGCTGCTGCTGCTGCTGTTGCTGCTGCTGCTGCTGCTGGTTGCAGCTCGATCCCGCTGCAGTGGAGACGAATGCTGCTGCTGCCGCACCTGCTGTCTACTCGGGGGAGGCAGAGCGTCTGTGCTGTCTTTGCGCCCCGCCGCGGGTGCATCCGCCCCTCCACTGCCGTTGCTGCTGCTGCTGCTGCTGCTGCTGCTGCTGCTGGTGCTGCTGCTGGTGCTGGTGCTGCTGCTGCTGCTGGTGATAGGGGGGTCGGAGACAGGGGCAGCTGGCAATACACCACACCGCTGCGTCTGTCTCCCTGTGTGTTTGCCTCTGAGGATAACAGTCTTGTAGCTTGCATGCGCACCCGTGTCACAACATACACTTGTGCCGGTGCTGCTGCTGTTGCTGCTGTTGCTGCTGTTGCTGCTGTTGCTGCTGCTGCAGCTGCTGAGGCCTTCTTTGTTGCTGCTGCTACGCCTAGAGCTCCCTGTGTCAGTGCTGACACTCTCATACGTTCTCGAGGCCCCATCAGCAGGTGTATGTACACCGCAAGCTGCTGGGCCTTTGCAGGTCCCCCGTACCGCTTCTGTGTATGCCTCTGCGGGGCCCACGGGTGATACCTGCTCCTGCTGCTGCTGCTGCTGCTGCTGCTGCTGCTGCTGCTGCTGCTGTTTTTGCTGCTCTTGCTGCTGCCGGCGGTCCTGCTGATGAAGCTGCAGACGACCCGGCTCCCCTGCTGCTGCCTGCAACACCTCCGGTTCCCGTCTTTGCGGTTTCAGGCGTAGCTGCAGCAGCAGCAACAGCAGCAGCAGCAACAGCAGCAGCAGCAACAGCAGCAGCAGCAACAGAAGCAGCAGCAGCAACAGCAGCAGCAGCAACAGCAGCAGCAGCAACAGCAGCAAGAGAGAAATATAAAAAACGCAGAAGACACAAGCTCAAGCTCTCCTGCTACGGGTGTCTCCTTATCTCCTCGCTGCTGCTGCTGCTGCTGCTGCTCCTGAGAGAGAGGAGAGCTCAGATCCATACATACATATACATATAAACACATATATATATA